TTAATGCATTTATTGAATGCGTTTTGTACAACACTAGTGCATCCATTGGTTATGAATTTAATCTCATCCCTGACACTTTTTGACAGCATTTGCACATTGTATAAGATTTCAGAAATACAGCCACAACGGAATTAATTCAAACAGGATTATAAGGCTGATTTCATCAAATATGAGATTTAATTATATACTTAGGTCAGTCTGGCTCATGGTCACAAATCCACGTCACTCTTAGAGGTTCAAACTTTCAGCTTTTATTGATCAATTGATGTTTTCTATGGCTTATCAATCCTCAATGTAGATTTTTATCCAGAATTTTGAGATAGTCTGCAGATTTCATTATTCCTCTTATTGCAATTAAATGTCCAGTCCTCTTTGAGCTAAAACAACCCCAAAACATCATTGAGCTGTCTCCATGTTTTAATGTTGCAACTGTGTTCTTTGGGAGGAAAGCCTCACCTTTCTTGTGCCAAATCTTCTGTACATCATTATGTCAAAAAAGTTCAGTTTTTGTTTCATCACTCCATGGTGCTAGTTCCCAAAAGTAATTTTCCTTATCTAAGAACATTTTGGCAAAATTAAACCAAAGAACAATGTAGCATGATTTGTGAAGAGGGGTTTGTCGTGGTTGGTTTCTATACAACCCATTTCTATTTAAACAAAGTTGTATTGTGCGAGTACAAACTCTTGGCCATGTCTTTCAAAACAACTCTTGGGTTTGTATTAACCTCGTGACAGTTTTTGTGCAGTTCTCTGTGACAATTTGGATTTTCTTCCATGCCCTGTCAAATTCTCTGTTGTGCCAAACTGTTTAAACTTCTTTATAATAGAATTTACTGTAGATCTAGGGATAGCTAACCGGTTTGAAATAGTGCTGTAACTATTTCCTGACTTGTGGAAGTTAATAATTCTCTGTCTCAAGTCAACACTAAGCTCCTTTGTCTTCCCAATCTTGTTAACTTAAGAATAACAATGGTGACACTCTATGCACCATGTGATGTTCTTTGCTGGAATTATCACAAATATCCTACTGAATAAATCGTCTAGAAGGCTTCACTAATAAAATAATTATGTTAGTTACTTGTACTTACAAGAATCAATCAATTTAAAGTGATATTTTCTACGCTACGAATAATTTTGTCTTTTCTTATTTTGCATAATTCGCCTATCAGATTTGTTGTGTTTTAATCTATTGTTCTGAAATTTGAGTTTTCTATTTTTTTTTTTTTTTTTTTGTGCTTATTAACATAAAAACCTGGCATCATACAGCCATTAGATTCTGAGAAATGGATAAAAATATTCAAAATTGATGGGTGTATGAATAATTTTGTCATTGACTGTATATACACAAAAGCATCAGCAAATATTCTGTTGCTATGTTCCAAGATCCTCACTGTTGCACAATATATGGATTTTATGTTGTTCACTTATTCATTTATTTATTTTTTATAAAATATAGTGTTCATAAATTTTTATTTAAAAAAAAAATAAAGTGTTAGGAAATGAATTGATCAAAATTACCTGAAGATACCAAAAGGTTGAAACCAAGGTAGTGGAATCGGCTGATTTCCTAAGTTTCTCTGTATATTTATATATTCTTATGTTTAGTCAGATTTTTGGAAATGAATTAGTCCCAAAACTTTTCAATGCTCCTTTGTACTTGAAAATTTTTTTTCTTGCTTAAATAAAAAGTTAATTTTATAAGTAGCCTGTTAAAAAAAAAATACAAAAGAACTGAGACCATTTTGTTTCTTTTTCTTTTCCTTATATGTATATATAGTTTATGAAAAACTAGGTAATCTGTATGGGTAGACCCAAGGAGGATAAAATCCAGAGAGCTCAATGTAAATCCAGAGCAAATAATGAACCAATTAAATGTGTCAATGTCTGGACCTCCTCAAGTAATTTTAAGTATGAAACAATAGAAATATTAAATTACATCTAACTCACTCATGTCTTCTCTCTCTCCCCACCTCACTTCCTCAATTTACATATGCTTAATACGGCCCGTCAGAAATGTGTAAATTTCTTTTCATTTTTTTGTTTCAACCTTTGGAAGTAAAGTCTGATGATCCGCAGTCCTCTAAAAGGGCTGTGGTGAAATAATTTATTACATGGAACCTTAAAGTGGTCTGTTTTTATTTAAATATATATATATGGTACCTATTGGAAAGTGCTCAATATCATTGATAGAGCTAACATATTCAGTTGTATGGATATGAGTTTGCAACCCTGTGTTTCAGGCTTTTGCAATCGCCAGTCAAAGTAACATAAATGGATTCAATTTTTTAAAAATAAATAGTTTGTCTGATGATTACAAAAGTGTGAAATTCAGGGTTATGAACTCATATGCATACAACTGAGTTTATGTATGTATGTATGTATGTGTGTGTGTGTGTATATATATATATATATATATATATATATATATATATATATATAATCTCATTTCTTATCATTTTATGCTGTTAATGTACTTTTCTCCTCTTATGAAATGTGTGGGTGTGTTATTACTTGTACAGACATGTGTCACTATTTGAGATTGGTTCAACTTGACATTTTCTCTTTCATGCCTTTTTTTTTTTTTTTCCCTCTAATCAAACATGACTTGTGTTGTGCTCCTTATAACTAGCCACCTGGTGTGTGTGTGTGTGTGTGTGTGCAGGTTTCTCTCTACCTTCCGCATGTATACATCAGCAGATCTTTGTCCACGCACACCCATTGTTTGAATGCATGTTTGCACATGTACCAACATGTGCTTCCATGTCAAGTGGCTGCCACCTTTAATACTTCTCTCCCCTGTGCTGTTTAATATTTCACGCTAATTGCCACTGTTTTCTATTGCCTTGCATGCAAATGCATTTTTTTTGTTAAATGCAATTTATAGATATTGCTGCCTGATATTAGATTTTTTTTTTTTGTATTTTTTTAAATTATTTCAATCCTTAATGTTCAACAACCAATTTGATGAAATAAAGTCTTATTTAGTGGATTAAGAACATTTTCATCTTTAGTGTTAAGACATGATACTGATATACAGAGAACTTAAAACGATTACTTGGTTACTTATTTTAGTGAATCATTTTAATTACAATTACTGCATCATGATGCAAACAATGGTCAGTACATCTAAACCAGTGGCTCCTAACCGATTTTGGGCCATGCCTCACCTTGGTATTTCTAAAATTCTAACCCAAAACCCCGGTAATATTTAATTCTTACATATTGAAAAATTTTACTGCAATCCACATGAAGGGAGCTTAGAAGGCCATTTACTTGGTTTCTAAACAAGCCTCCAAAGACCATGGTGTCCAGGAAAGAGAAAAATTAAAAAAAAACAAAAAGACAGTATCTATCTATATTTCTGAGATGAGGTATTATGTAGACTATTTTTAACAATTTAAAAGGGGGTCCTATTCATAATTTTGAAACAGTGTCATATTGGTCCTTGACTTTTGCTGAATTATCTTCACTTAGTTTTTTGTTTCCAGATATTATGCCTTGAAAATGTCCTTACATCATTGATATCTGCATATTTATTTTATACTTTTGTTGGTTTATGTAAATTTTAGCTCTTTAATTAAAAATGTGACACTACTATAAAAATTTATACATCCTTTATAAAAAAAAAACAAAAAAAAAAACATTTATTTCACCAAACAATTGTTTGTTTAAAATAATTTCTTAAGATAAAATGCATAGAAATGTATATTTTGATTTACACTGTTTAAGAGAAAAATTAACCTACAAGGGTACCTGGGTAACCTACAAGGAATTCTAAACTGAACCCTTTATTTAATCTATGGAGGTATAATGTTCTCATTTCATTGCTCAAGTCTAGAGATATTGTTTAGTTGAAGAAGGCCAAAGAATGCAACAGCCGAAATGTTGTGATAACAACAAAGATGAAGATAATACTCCAAATATAAATAGTGTAAAAAAAAAAAATGTCAGACAAAAATACAAAAAAAAATATTTCTGTTTGTTCTTCATTTAAACGATGTCTTTTTTTTCTTTTTTTTTTTTTTTTAATAAAATATCTGTTTTCATACATAGATATCAATAACATAAACACTCGTTCAAACTTCACATTTGTGAACAAACAGTTAAGTCCAATAAACCTGTAAAAAAGTTTGGGATCGATTTTACACTGTATCAATATTATGAACAGAACCCCCACTTCTAAAATGATAACAAATCAATATTTCTCGATTCTAACAAATATTTCCCTATTTCTTATAAGTGGACCAGTCTGCTTAAGTAGTGCATCTCTCAGTAAATCAGTTTGCCTACCGCCCGGCTCACACTACTTCCAGGTCTTTTTAACAGGAGTAGAGCTTTATCCCTTGTTTCCTATTTTTGATTGGGTTTCTAGTTCCTTCTCATGCCTACTTAAATGCTATACTTCTAGCATCTCCACTTAAACTCTGAAATTTATACTGTTTATTTATTTATTTTTATTTTTCCCCAATAGGAGGAGATAGGTTTGCCAATCATCAAGTTCACACTCCTCTCCATTCTATTGAACAGGATTCAATGATTCCTGTTTAGGATTGGGTTTCCAGTTCCTTCTAAAGTCTTTCCCTTCTCTTTTGCTTCCAGTAGCTCCTTGTGTCTTAGTGGCATTATTGCCTTGCTTCAGGTGAATTGATTAAAAAAAAAAAAAAAAAAAAAAGGAAATTTGATGCTGTTTTAGAAGCAATTGCTTTCTTGTAATGATAAAACCGTTTTGTTAACAAAAACATTCCAAAATAGTTCTCATTAAATATTTACTCATGAAAATGACTTCCTCTTCTTGCCAAATGAATCCAAATTGCCTTTTTGGAACTAATTTTTTGACTTGCTAATATTTGAGTAACTTAAATTAGTTTTTGTTGCCTGCAAAGCAAATGAAAAAATTTAAATTTTAAAATTTATAGTTTGTTTTTACCTTCATTTCTTGAGGCATTAAAAAAAAAAAAAATCTCTTAAAAAAAATACCCTTTCCACTAAAACACAAATGACAAAATCACACTGAAAACACCGGTTGACATTCAGTTATTGAAGTTAAGCAGCATAGAGCCTAATCAGTACTTAGATGGGTGACCACTTAGGAATATTGGGTGCTGTAGGCCAGAGGTTGGTAACCTACGGCACACGTACCACATGTGGCATACCAAGCAATTTCCAATGGGATGCAGTTGCAAATGACATCACAAAGTCCGAACCAATAACTACTACAACGCAAAGAAGATATTTAGTTGTTTCAATTTTAATATATACTAAAGTATATATACTATATATTACTATATAAAATATAGCACAGGTATATTGACCTTGACTTGTATAAAAAATACATAACTTGTTGGCACACTGAATGATTTTAAAACCCTAAGTCGGCATATAGTTACCAAAAGGGTGCTGACCACTGCTATAGGCAATGTACAATATGAAATATGTTTCAGCTTTATATAACCCACAAAGGGTCAATAAGTTGTAAAAAAACAAATCAAAGTCTTCCGTATTGCTTATGGACTCTGTCCCTGGCATCCTCAGCATCCTTTTGAAGAACCACATTTCTTTTGCTTCAAGTTTTCTCTTTATCTGTGAGGAAGTTGTCCAGCATTCACTGCCATACCAAAGGATTTATATTAGATAGCAACTCAGCAATCTTTTCTTTATTTCTAACAAAATTTTCCAGTTTCTTAATACTTTGCTTAGCTTTTAGATAGCATCTTTTTCTATTCCAATGCACCTTTGAATTTCACTGTCACATTTTCTGTCCTTTGTTAAAACACTTTGCAGATATTTAAACTTTTATACTTGCTTGTTTTTGCTATCTCTAATTTTTGATTTGCTATTTACTTTCTTCAAGAAGAATGCATTTGAAAATATGTTCGTAGGCAGCTCATTTAAGAAACATGCAAAATCTCTCCTGCTAATGCAGTGAGAGGCTTGCGATATCTTGTCTGTGTGAAAGGTTTATAGGGTGGAAAGTAATTTGTCACCTACAAGTATGCAGAGATGCTTTTGAACTCTATCAAGAGTGGAAAGTGAAGAATGAGCAGTTCCTGTGCTTGTTTTTGGTACTTGCAATTCATAGTTCGCAATTTACTTTCTCCAAGAAGAATACATATGATCGCATCTGAAAATATTACTGTTAATGTGACTATTAACTGTTGCTTGGTTAAAAGTCAGGTTGTTCTCCAGCGTAACCTCTTCATCAGAGCACACTTCCAATAAAGATGGCTTAAGCAAGTGACACATAAATTCTAGCTATTTCAATGTACGATTTGGTATAGTTACCTAATCATTGTGCTAAAGATAAGGAAACTATGATGAATGAATCAATGTATAATAGTCACATCACATCTAAGAAATTTGGATAAACTTTTTTTCTTTTTGATTTATTAAATAATTTTATAGGAGGTGAATTGGAGCAATTCATTCAGATTGTTATGTGTCTTGTAATGATACTAGATTGTTATGGGGCTTGTAATGATATTAGATTGTTATGGGGCTTGTAATGATACTAGATTGTTATGCATCTTGTAATGATATTAGATTGTTATAGGGCTTGTAATGATATTAGATTGTTATGCATCTTGTAATGATACTAGATTGTTATGGGGCTTGTAATGATATTAGATTGTTATGCATCTTGTAATGATACTAGATTGTTATGCATCTTGTAATGATACTAGATTGTTATGGGGCTTGTAATGATATTAGATTGTTATGCATCTTGTAATGATACTAGATTGTTATAGGGCTTGTAAGGATACTAGATTGTTATGCATCTTGTAATGATACTAGATTGTTATGGGGCTTGTAATGATATTAAATGATATAATCAATATAATTTTCATTTATGAATTTATTTTCTATATTAGACAGAAGAAAGAAAAGTCAGGTTTTGTTTCTTCTAGGACAATGTTTTTTGGCAGTAAAATAATATACTAAATATGTAAATATATAAATAGCATAATATACTAAATATATAACTATAGCATAATAACTGGCATAATACACTACATACAAGTATATAAGTAGCATAATATACTAAATAAATACAAATCATGTAATATACTAAATACATAAATAGCATAATATATCAAAGTTAGTTTAACTGTGTAGTCAAAAATAAGAATATTTAAATATGTCTATATTTTTGAGATGAGGTATTGTAATTAGTTACATTGTTCGGACTGTTGTCCTCATCTTTATTGTCATGACACAGTGGATAAAAGCATTGGTTGGATCCAGTGACTTGACCCAAAGAGTTGTGCGTTCACCACTGCAGTAGCCAGGTATTGAACAAAAACTTGGAGAGTTGCGTTAAAGGGAGATAACTGAAACATCCAGAAGAGGCATGGCACGTGGAACTAGAATAATCTACCCCCTGTGGACAAAATAACGGGTTCAGTCAGAAATTCCAGTTACCTGAAGAAGGTCGGAGTGTACAATGACAGAAATGCCGTGAATATAACAATAAAGATGAAGGCGACAGTTTGAGAAATGTAAATAATATTTAAATAGTTTTGCAATTGCACCAGTTTAATTTTCTGTATAAGTAAGTTAGGATTTTTATCTGTACAATTAACTTATCAAAGGAAGAATTGTGCTTTTTAAATTATTACAAATAAATATTCTAAGACATTTTGTCTGGATTTCTAGGATGTGACGTTACCATTTATTTATATTCGGACTATAATTTTGAATTCAGAATTGTCCTTCTCTTAGGCTGGTATCATGAATCATATCAAAGTGTGACAGCCATATTGAAGTAATTTTGTAATTGCATTGGTTAAATTGTCTGTATGAGTAGCATAGGAATTTTGTCAATACAGTTGAAGAAAGAATTATTCAAAGTAATGCAAAGCAAAATAAATAACAATATCTTAACCATCTCATCCATCCCATTTAATTAAATATCCCAATTTTATGGGATGAGCATATTCACTTATTTGCGTCAAGTAATGGCATCACATAACCATAGCAATGGAATATCTCATTGCTAAAATTGAGATATTAAACTTTGTAGCTGATAAATATTCAAAATAATACTGTTTGATATTACAGAATAGTACTTACCTTATATATTTGCATATTATGCGACCTTTGAAGACCAAATTTTGAAGGTAATTTGACCATACTAAATGGATATATAGTTTGGTCAACAGCATAACTAGGGCCAGCAATACATACACTAATTTTATATCTTGCGTATGATACAACCTTCTTAAAATTAACTTCAAAATTAGCTCTTCAAAAATTACATGATACACGAGTATATACAGTAATTACTTATATGGCCATTACAAGCATAATATATTAAAATGGGTTTTTAGTTTTCTCCATGTTTATCTACCTAAACATTTCAGTTTGGTTCTCCTACTAACAAATGATTTATTTGTGGTGGAAAGTATTTTTGCTTCTCTGTGAAAGTCTAATTTGAATTTCTTTTATTTCGGCTTCAAACAAAATAATAGATGTGTTTTTGGTTAAGCTTAACCCTTTAGAATTCAGCACACCCAAAACCACACCATAAATATCATCTCTCAATGTCTGCATTTGTGGTCAAAATCTCACTGTTTGCATGATTTTCCTGCGTTATTTGCAATGATGTCGTCATATATTATGGGGTGGGGTTTAGGGTGGGGGTTGAACATTGAGAGATGATATTTACAGGGCAGGTTGAATGCTGAAGGGTTAATGTGATTGAGAGGAAAACATTTTCAACTCGACTTTCTGTCTGAATTTCTAGGATGTTGCATTATCATTATTTACATTCAGACTATAATTTTGAATTCAGAGTTGTGCTTCTCTTAGATTGGTAGCCAATCGTGGTTAGAGGTCGCAGTCTACCCTAATATTTAACCCATTGCTGGGGAGACGGAAAAAGAGGAGGATTCATAACTTTCTCATGTTTATTTGTGTGAAAGTGAATGCAACAAACAGGAATTCAAACTTGGCTTGCCAATCTCTTGTTCCGAACCCGCTAGCCATCTTACCGTCTGTATATCCCATTATTTGCATTTGTTGTCTTCATCATGTTTCAGCCATTGCGTCTCTCACCTTCCGGGAATTTCAAACTTATTTCAGCCCAACATCAGTTTTATTTGTTTTTGTCTTGAAAGAACTTTCTTCATCCTCAGTTTCACAGTTGTTGTCTGTCGATCAAAGCTGTTAGAATATTTTTGTCAGAAACTTTTAACTGAAGCATTATCACTCACACAATTTATATTCAGAATATTGTCTTCATCTCTGTTGTTTTTATCACAGCATTTCGGCTGTTGTGCACTCTGGCCTTCCTCAAGTGTACATCGGTCAGAGTAACCTACAGGGAAATTTGAAAAGAGCCCTTTATTCAATCTACAGGGATAGAATTATCATATCTGCTCTTTTGTTCACACAAATTACTGGTTTGAATAGCAGCTCATTTACTGGAGATATTTGAGTATAGTGTGAATGTTTTGATCAGTTTTTATTTACACCAAATACAGGGGTTGCACTATTCACAGGTAATTCTTTTGAAATGGGTAAAAATCTTGCATTTTCAGTGAATAGTTGTACTATAAATAGGTAAATCTTTTCTGGAGAGGTTCAAATTCATGTATTTTCAGGGACCGTAATCTATCTGGTAGACCTACATTCTCACGCTACCTATGGCTAACATTAACGATACAGGTAAGCTCCATTAGCCTGTCCCCTGTATCCTAGGCATGGATGAAAACAAAAATATGGTATTTAAATCTTTGTATCAGATATTTTCCAGTAAGTGGTTTTTCTCACCATTTTCCGATAACTATGTACAAAAAAAAAAAGACCAATGACCATTTATTTGCTAAAAAATATGTCCAGGATGATGCACAGTATGACAATATTTGACTATGGAATGCCTACTAGGATTACTCAGAACAGGGGGTCGGATTATATACACAAGCTATATAAAAAAAAAAAAAAAAAAATCAGGTTTTTCACAAATTTCGATTGCTGTATTATGCATGAAGTAAACTTATATACGAGTATATATGATAATCCTGTTAGAATATAAACGTTTGTGTGTTTGTTCACTTTCAACTGTATATACTGCCACATGTTCAAATTAAATATAAGATGCTGGACTTGGTA